CCAGCCTGCTGCGCCCGAAGAACACCTCCCTAAGGAGGAACCGAACAACGCATGAGATGCCGCCGTCCACGCTCTCGCTCACTGTTGTCCGCAGAATCCCCAGCGGCAGCCACAGCTCTTCGTTGTGCAGATGTGCAACGCCGAACTCTGTGAAGGTAAAGAACAATGCCCAGAATTTCCAATCGTGCCGAAGGGCCAATGCGTCGCCTGGCGTGACTTCGTCAGCATACAACACCAGATTGAGCGGCGCGCCACGGGCGCTGCTCACCGCCTCCGCGAATCGCTCACTGTGCGATGTGCTTTCGCGACACATGTATTTCAGGAGCTTGTCGGCTCGGGCGATCGTCCACTCGAAGGGCGCGCCGCCGCCGTCCACGGGCAGCTGGATGGTCGTCGAGGCGGCATTGAGCACGTCATCAAAGGTGTTGCGGATATTTTGTCGGGTTACGTGCTCGGCAACGTCAGGCTGATGCGAGATCTTCTTGGCGAGCTGTGCGAGGGCTCTGCCCGTGATCCCACTCGTGCGGATGGGCTCGGATATTTTGCGCCGCTTGGCCTTGCTGTCGTCGACGACGTCGCCCATCGTTCGCGCGGCCCTCGCAGTTCCAGAGGCGCGGGCCGACGCGGCCATCGCGCGCCGGGCTCGGCGAGGCTCGGTGGGCTCGCCACCAGCTCCCTGCGGTCGAGCCCGAGCCGACGCGGCTATTGTGTGCCCAGCCTCGCCCCGCCCGCCCAAGCGATCGCTATCGCTTCATCGCTTCCCCCCTCCAGCGATCGCAATCGCTTCCCCCCTCCACCTCCGCCGAGCGATCGACGTCGCTTACCCCCTCCACCCCCGCCGTGCGATCGACATCGCTCTCATGCTCGCCCCAGCGATCGTCATCGCTTCCCCCCCCCCCCCGCCGAGCGATCGACATCGCTTACCCCCTCCACCCCCGCCGACCGATCGACATCGCCTACCATTTTCCCTTTTCTGTTCCAACCGCACCCGCCGACAAGCGCCTGTCCACCTGTCGGGGCGCGGCGCGCCGCAGCGCGGGCGCACCGCGGGCAATCGCGCCCTCGGGGGGCGACGTCCTGGCCATCGTCGGCTCAGCCAGGGAGAGCTGCCGTCGACTTGGCCATCGTGCTCACCACCTGGGCCTGCGCGGTCGCCTGCTGCGCGCAGGCGTGGACCTCCTCCGCGGTCCACGTGAACGTCGACGGGTAGGCCTTGTTCTTATTGATCTTCTCTCCGACCTTCTTCATCGTGCTCAGCTTCTCCAGCAGCCCAGTGGCCTGCGTCATGCTGGCCTCTGGGATCTTGCTGACCCCTGGGGTGCCAGACTGCATCGCCATCTCCAGCTTGGACATGGGCATCACGATCTTGGCTAGGGAGCGCGTGACCAGGAGCCTGAGATCTTTCTCCTTATCTGCGTCTGCCTTCTCCTTCTTCTCTGCCTTCTCGCGCGCCTTGCGCTCCTTCTCGGTCTCGGTCGGGGGCGCAGAAGGTCCTCGCTGTCCGTGCCCGCGCGGGGGCGGGGCGTCCGAGCTGCTGTCGCTGTCCGAGCCCGAGCTGCTGGTGCTCGGCGGCTTCACCTTCTTGGACTTCTTGGAAGCAGGGGCCGAATCGGACATCTCAGCGCCCTTGCGCTGGCCCGTGCCACTGCCCTTGTCAGCGTCCTTAGCCTTGCCCTTGGCCGTATCCTTGCCAGTGTCCTTATCTTTATGTTTGCCGCTGCCCTTGTCCTTATGCTTGCCGCCGTCCGCATTCTTATCTGCGTTCTTGCCGCTGGCCTTGTCCTTGTGCTTGCCGCCGTCTTTACCCGTGCTATCATCCTCATCCTTGCTCCGATTCTTGCCAGCGTCGTTATCCTTATCGGTACCTTTGATTTTCTCTTTGCCACTGCCTTTGTCCGTATGCTTGCCGCTGTCCTTGTCCTTGTCAGCGCCTTTGTCCTTATGCTTGCCGCTGTCCTTATCCTTATGCTTGCCGCCGTCATTCGCCGTGTCCTTGTGGTTGCCGCTGTCCTTATCCTTGTGCTTGCCGCCGTCCTTATCCTTGTCCTTAGCCTTGCGCTTGCCGCCGTCCTTTTCCTTGTCCGCATTATTGTCCTTCTCCTTGTCCTTATCCTTGCCCCTTTGCTTCTCCTTGTCTTTACCCTTGCGCGCGTCCTTATCCTGATCCTTCGCCTTGCCCTTGGCGTTGCCCTTCTTTGCGTCGCTGCCATCGTCGGAATCGCTACTCTTCACATGCGAACCGTCCCCCTCGCCCATGCTGTCATCGGTGCCGTACTGATCATCGTCATCGGCCTCATCGGAATGGGGCCCCTCCTCGTCGGGGCACGTGCTCGCCTCAGGCGCGTCCTCCACCTCATCATCGTCCTCATCCTGTTCGAAAGAATCATCCGTGTCACCCTGGTCGTCATGCTGGGAGGCCGCGGCAGCCTTCTTCCTCATCGTCTTGTTCTCATTCACATTCCCGTCGTCTGAAACTTCGGCCTCGACCCCTTCGGCTCTCGAGCGACTCGCGATCTGGGACCCCCACTTCTCGAACAGGTGAATGTCCACCTTGTAGCACATTCCCAAAATTGGGTGGGATAACGTGTCCGTGCACGTCTTGCGGATCCTCTTGTACGGGAACCCCTGCCTCTTGTACCAGCCCAACGGGTAGTAGCCCCCCTTCGTCATGTGCTTGCTCTCTTTTCCTTGGTGCTCGTCAGCGTCTCCTTCAAGAACTTTTTGACTGCGAACGTATTTGGGCAGTCCTTCACCGAGGCCCAGAAGCTCGTCCTCTCCTCGACGCTGAAGCTCTTGAGGCCCGACGATACCTCCTTCCACTCGGGCGCTCTGGTGGCCTGCACCCCTCTCGTGCTGCACAGCGCGCATCTGAACACTTGTCCTTTTTTGGTGACGCGGACGGGGTACGCCTTCATAACGTCGCATGGTTGCTGGTATCGGCCGCACAAGTAGGCTCTTTCTGCTTCCTCCAAACACAGCTGCTGCGCCCTCTTGCTTGGGCTACTGTTCAGGGCGAACGCCCCGACTTTCCACTTGGCGCCCGACGCGTCCTCGCCCCAGCCGTCATCCTCGGTTGCCGTGCCCGCCGCCTTCGCCTTCGGCGGCGACATTGCCTCCGTCGCCTTCGGCGGCGCGCCCTTCGCCTTCGGCGGCGCGCCCTGCTGCTTCGCACCCTTCGGCGGTGGGGGGTGGGGGGCGGTTGCCGCGCCTTCGGCTTCTTCGCGCTCGCCGACCGGGCGGGCCTGCGGGGGGGCCTTCCGCTCGCTTCGGCGGAGCTCGCGCTCGCGACGCCCCTCTTCGGCGGCGGCGGTGCCGCGCCCTTCGACGTTGCGACCGTCGGCCGCATGAAGCTCGCGATGTCGGCGTATCCCGTCCCCTTGTTCCTGGCGGCCTCCTCTGCCTTGGCCACGGCCTCGGCCTTCTCCCTGGCGGCTGCTTTCACCTCCTCCTTAGCGCGGGCCTTCTCCTTGGCCACGGCAGCGGCCTTCTCCTTAGCGCGGGCCTTCCCCGCCTTCATAGCTGGCTTCATAGCTGGCTTGGTGGCAGCGGCTGGCCTCCTGAGCGCGGCCCGCGATGCGCCCTCCTCCCCATCAGCCTCCTCATCTTCTGGCGGCGGCTGCAGCGCGGCTGGCGCCTCGGATGGCGGCGCCGCCGACGACATATTACCATTCGGATGGCGCCGCGACGGCCGCCGCGGATGGCCACCATCGGACGGCGGCGCCGCCCGCGATGGACCACCATCGGATCGCGGCGCCCCTCGGCCCCCTTCGGGGGGGGAGGGGGAGGGCGGCGCTCGCGGTTTGCTCCGCCCTTCGCGCGGCCCTTGCCCTTCGGCTTCGCCTTGGCCTTCGCCTCCGCCCCCTTCGCCGCCGCCTCCCTCTCCTTCTTCTCCTTCTTCTCCTTTTTCTTTTTCTTGTTCTCCGCCTTCGCCTTCGCCTTCTCCTCCTTCTCCTTCAGCAGCTTGTCCCTCGCGTCCCTCAGCGCCGTCTCCCGCTTCAGCGCCGCGCCCCTCTCCTCGATCGCCTTCTTCAGCTCCACCTCCGCCTCATTCGTCGTCGCCGTCGTCGTCGACATCGTCGTCGTCGTCGTCGTCGCATCCCGCCTCGTCCAGCCATTGCGAGAGCTGGCGGGCCCGCTCCGTCTGCTGAGCGTTGACGGCCTGAGGCAGGGGAGAGCGATAACGATCGCTGGGAGGAGGAGGATGAGGGGAGGAGGGGGAGGAGGAGGAGGAGGAGGAGGAGGAGGAGGAGGAGGAGGAGGATGAGGAGGAGGAGGAGGAAGAAGGGGAGGAAGGGCGAGAGGAAGGGGGTGAGGGGGAGGGGGGAAGGGGGGGAAGGGGAGGGAAAGGGGGAGCAGGGGGAGAAGGAGGAAGGGGGGGAAGGGGGGGGAGGCGAGGGAGGGGGGGAAGGGAAGGACGCGGAGGAGGAGGCGGGGGAGAGCGATAACGATCGCCAGCAAGGTGCCGACCTGGCGGCCCAGCGCCCGCGCGCGAGCCCCCCGCGCCTCCTCCATCGCGGCGGCTCGCGGCGGCGCGCGGCGCGGCGGCGCGGCGGCGCCCCCGCGAGCTGGAGCAGCGCGCGGCGATCAGCGATCGCTATTGCTATCGCTATCCTCCTCGTCCTCCCAGCGATCGCTATCGCTCTCCTCCTCCACTTCCTACTGTCCCCTCCCAGCGATCGCTACCGCTCTCCCCCTCCACTTCCTACTGTCCCCCGTCCGCCCAAAACGACGTTAAATCTGTTAAAGCAGTTGGCGCCAAAAACGGCGTTAAAACAGTTAAAGCAGCTTGCTCGTCCTCCTCCTCCTCCCCCTCCCGAGCGATCGCCATCGCTGCACCTCCGCGATCCCCATCGCTCCCCGCCTTCCCAAGCGAGTGCCATCGCTTCACCTCCGCCCAGCGATCCCCATCGCTTTGTTTTTACTTCTGCGCGCGCGGTGACGCGTCCGCCGCGCCCCTTCGGGCGCCGCGCCCGCGCGCGGCACCCCGTGCCAGCGCTCACTGCGGGCGTGCTGCCGCTCCCGCCGCCGCAGAGGCGGCTGCCTCTGCCGCTCCTGCCGCCGCCGCGTGCTGCCGCGACGCCACGTCGTAGCGGCTGCCTGGCCGCCACGACCAGTCGACCCCGCCGTCGTCTGCGACCTCGAACTGCACCTGCTCCGTCCAATCTTCCCACGCCTGGTCGTAGGAAGCCTTCGCTGCTGCCGGATAGCCGTCCAGGCCCAGCCTCCGCATTTCTGCCGCAAAGGCATGGTACTGGGCCGACGCCTCGATCCAATGCTGGAACGCCAGGACCAGGGACTGCATGCATCGCCTGTGGTGGACCTCGATGTCGGGCCACCACGGCGCCATCTCCCACTCGGTGCCCTCCCCGCCGCGGCGCAGCGCCTCAGGCGCAACAGGCGGCGGCCTGATCGCCGCCGCCTCGGCGTCCCACCCCTCGCCGCGCGCCCTCGGGAAGCGGCGCGCCGCGCTGCCCCCCTCGGCCTCGATATCGGCCCGCGGCCGCTTCCGAAGCCGCACCTCCGACGCGGGAGGCGGCGGCGTCGCGGCGCCTCCTCAGTGGCGGCGGCGGCGCCCTCCTCGGCGTCGCCGCCCTCCTCAGTGACGGCGGCGCCCTCCCCAGTGACGGCGGCGGCGCCCTCCTCAGCGCCGCCGCCCTCCTCAGTGACGGCGGCGGCGCCCTCCTCAGTGACGGCGGCGGCGCCCTCCTCAGCGACGGCGGCGGCGGCGGCTGGGGCCGCCGAGAGCTCGCGAGCTCGCTGGAGGAGCCACCGACGAGACGCCGCGGCGTTCTCATCGAGCGAGGGCGCCGCGAACTCGTCGTCGCGGCGAGCGCGTTGCGGCCGCAGCGGCGCGGGCGCCACGGCACCCGACGACGCCACGGGCGGCTTCGCCACTGGCGGCGGCGCCACGGGCGGCCTCGCCACGCGCGGCGGCGGCGCCACGGGCGGCTTCGGCACGGGCGGCGGCGCCGTCATCCTCGATGGGCACGCCGCCAACTCCATGCGGTCGAGCCTCGACGGCACCACGGGCGGCGCCTCGAAGCGCGGCGCCGCCGCCTTCGTGACCAGGTGGCTCGGCGGCGGCCCACGCGGCTGACGCGGCCCCATGGCTGCGCGCGCCCGCTGCCGCGCGGCTCGGGGAGGGGCGGGGGTGCAGCGGAGCGGGCGCCGCCGTCGCGAGCGATCGCAATCGCTTGCCCACCGCCCCCTGCCTTCCCAAGCGATCGCAATCGCCCCCTGCCTTCCCAAGCGAGCGCCATCGCTTCAGCCGAGCGATCCCCATCGCTCCCTGCCTCCCCCCCCCACACCCCCGCGATCCCCATCGCTCCCTGCGTCCCCCCCCCCCCCCCCGCCCGCGGCGCGGCGCTTTTCTCCTTTTCCTCGCGGCGCGGCGCTACGAGTGCAAGACTACGTAGTCGCCTCTGCGCGTCACGCGCCACGCCCACGCCGTGGGCTCCAGGCAGGCATCGGCCATCTTGATGATGAGGAACTCGTCGATCACGCGCCCAGTACTCCTGCCCTGCGAGCGCGCTGAAATTTCGATCCCGCGCGCGACGACGCGCAGTTCGCCAGAGATGGCAGCGCGCGCGTCGAGGACGAACATCTCGCCACCGCGCGAGCGAACCACATCGCCCACGCTGTACGTTTGCCCGCCCCAGCGCAGCGAAACCGACACGGAGACGTCGACGTCCCCGACAAAGGAGCGCAACTCGTCGGAGTCGGCTGCAGTCCCCGTCAGCGCGTTGCCAGTCGGCCCCGTTTGTTCGAGTTGCCTCTCTTGGTGCAACACTGCGCTCGCGAGCGCCGTGCACTCAAAGCGCGAGGTGCAAAGCGCTGGTTCGGCGACTGCTTTTACCGTCTTGTTGTGGCGCTCCGTCACGAAGCAGTCGAGCTCCTTGGGCTCCTGGTGCGCGTTGTGGAGCACGTAGTGGTGCTTGGGCTTCACGTGGCGGACGCCGTAAGCCTGCTCGTGCAAGTCCAGATGGACTTCAGCCGATGCAACGAAGTCGTTGCGAGGGGCGGCTGTCCCACGCTTTACGTCCATGAACGCGCGCGCCAGCAGGCCGCGCGCGCGGAGGGGCGCCAGTTCGCGCTCGAGAGACTCGATGCCGACGGCTTTCTCCTCGGCGAACGCCACCGCGAGGTGGATGGGCGATGCCAGCTCGCTCGCGCCTGCCTTGAATGACTTCTTGCACGCGGTCGCGTGCCCAGGCGGGAACATATTGTGCGCAGCTCGCGAGCGCCCGCGCTGGAACTGCCAGCGCCGCGTGAACCTGTGGACATCGGGAAAGGTGATGCTCGCCTTGCTATTGCACGCCGTCGTAAACGCAAACACCTCCCATCCAACGGTGCCGTTGCTCCACAGGTTGTGCATGCTGTCATATGCCATGTCGGACGGCTTCACGACTGCCCGCAATTCCTCATCCTCCAGCAGGCCGTTGGGATGGAAGTTGAAACCGCTGGCCTTGTCGAGCTTCTTGGAGTCACCTTTCGGTACATGGCCATGTAACCCCGCGGTCGCCCACGCAGCGGCGAGGTCGTCCCACAGCTTCCACGCGTCGTCGGCTGACTGCGCGTCGAAGCGCGCGAACTCGTTGCAACGTATGTCGACGAAATAGCCGCCGTCGCCGCCGACGGAGGCATACTTCATGATCGCGTTCTTGCACTTCAAGCGCGGCCTCCAGCCGTTGGCGCCCCTCAAACATAGGACGCCTTTGTGAGCGTCCATGTCGGCGAGAATCTTGCCAGCCCGCGCCCGCGCCAGCGCCGAGGTGCCGTTGGCAAGCGTCACGGGCGCGCCAGAGCTCGCCAGCCTGCTGCGCCCGAAGAACACCTCCCTAAGGAGGAGCCGAACAACGCATGAGATGCCGCCGTCCACGCCGTCGCTCACTGTTGTCCGCAGAATCCCCAGCGGCAGCCACAGCTCTTCGCTGTGCAGATGTGCAACGCCGAACTCTGTGAAGGTAAAGAAAAATACCCAGAATTTCCGATCGTGCCGCAGGGCCAATGCGTCGCCTGGCGTGACTTCGTCAGCATACAACACCAGATTGAGCGGCGCGCCACGGGCGCTGCTCACCGCCTCCGCGAATCGCTCACTGTGCGATGTGCTTTCGCGACACATGTATTTCAGGAGCTTGTCGGCTCGGGCGATCGTCCACTCGAAGGGCGCGCCGCCGCCGTCCACGGGCAGCTGGATGGTCGTCGAGGCGGCATTGAGCACGTCATCAAAGGTGTTGCGGATATTTTGTCGGGTTACGTGCTCGGCAACGTCAGGCTGATGCGAGATCTTCTTGGCGAGCTGTGCGAGGGCTCTGCCCGTGATCCCACTCGTGCGGATGGGCTCGGATATTTTGCGCCGCTTGGCCTTGCTGTCGTCGACGACGTCACCCATCGTTCGCGCGGCCCTCGCAGTTCCAGAGGCGCGGGCCGACGCGGCCATCGCGCGCCGGGCTCGGCGAGGCTCGGTGGGCTCGCCACCAGCTCCCTGCGGTCGAGCCCGAGCCGACGCGGCTATTGTGTGCCCAGCCTCGCCCCGCCCGCCCAAGCGATCGCTATCGCTTCATCGCTTCCCCCCTCCAGCGATCGCAATCGCTTCCCCCCTCCACCTCCGCCGAGCGATCGACGTCGCTTACCCCCTCCACCCCCGCCGTGCGATCGACATCGCTCTCATGCTCGCCCCAGCGATCGTCATCGCTTCCCCCCCCCCCCCGCCGAGCGATCGACATCGCTTACCCCCTCCACCCCCGCCGACCGATCGACATCGCCTACCATTTTCCCTTTTCTGTTCCAACCGCACCCGCCGACAAGCGCCTGTCCACCTGTCGGGGCGCGGCGCGCCGCAGCGCGGGCGCACCGCGGGCAATCGCGCCCTCGGGGGGCGACGTCCTGGCCATCGTCGGCTCAGCCAGGGAGAGCTGCCGTCGACTTGGCCATCGTGCTCACCACCTGGGCCTGCGCGGTCGCCTGCTGCGCGCAGGCGTGGACCTCCTCCGCGGTCCACGTGAACGTCGACGGGTAGGCCTTGTTCTTATTGATCTTCTCTCCGACCTTCTTCATCGTGCTCAGCTTCTCCAGCAGCCCAGTGGCCTGCGTCATGCTGGCCTCTGGGATCTTGCTGACCCCTGGGGTGCCAGACTGCATCGCCATCTCCAGCTTGGACATGGGCATCACGATCTTGGCTAGGGAGCGCGTGACCAGGAGCCTGAGATCTTTCTCCTTATCTGCGTCTGCCTTCTCCTTCTTCTCTGCCTTCTCGCGCGCCTTGCGCTCCTTCTCGGTCTCGGTCGGGGGCGCAGAAGGTCCTCGCTGTCCGTGCCCGCGCGGGGGCGGGGCGTCCGAGCTGCTGTCGCTGTCCGAGCCCGAGCTGCTGGTGCTCGGCGGCTTCACCTTCTTGGACTTCTTGGAAGCAGGGGCCGAATCGGACATCTCAGCGCCCTTGCGCTGGCCCGTGCCACTGCCCTTGTCAGCGTCCTTAGCCTTGCCCTTGGCCGTATCCTTGCCAGTGTCCTTATCTTTATGTTTGCCGCTGCCCTTGTCCTTATGCTTGCCGCCGTCCGCATTCTTATCTGCGTTCTTGCCGCTGGCCTTGTCCTTGTGCTTGCCGCCGTCTTTACCCGTGCTATCATCCTCATCCTTGCTCCGATTCTTGCCAGCGTCGTTATCCTTATCGGTACCTTTGATTTTCTCTTTGCCACTGCCTTTGTCCGTATGCTTGCCGCTGTCCTTGTCCTTGTCAGCGCCTTTGTCCTTATGCTTGCCGCTGTCCTTATCCTTATGCTTGCCGCCGTCATTCGCCGTGTCCTTGTGGTTGCCGCTGTCCTTATCCTTGTGCTTGCCGCCGTCCTTATCCTTGTCCTTAGCCTTGCGCTTGCCGCCGTCCTTTTCCTTGTCCGCATTATTGTCCTTCTCCTTGTCCTTATCCTTGCCCCTTTGCTTCTCCTTGTCTTTACCCTTGCGCGCGTCCTTATCCTGATCCTTCGCCTTGCCCTTGGCGTTGCCCTTCTTTGCGTCGCTGCCATCGTCGGAATCGCTACTCTTCACATGCGAACCGTCCCCCTCGCCCATGCTGTCATCGGTGCCGTACTGATCATCGTCATCGGCCTCATCGGAATGGGGCCCCTCCTCGTCGGGGCACGTGCTCGCCTCAGGCGCGTCCTCCACCTCATCATCGTCCTCATCCTGTTCGAAAGAATCATCCGTGTCACCCTGGTCGTCATGCTGGGAGGCCGCGGCAGCCTTCTTCCTCATCGTCTTGTTCTCATTCACATTCCCGTCGTCTGAAACTTCGGCCTCGACCCCTTCGGCTCTCGAGCGACTCGCGATCTGGGACCCCCACTTCTCGAACAGGTGAATGTCCACCTTGTAGCACATTCCCAAAATTGGGTGGGATAACGTGTCCGTGCACGTCTTGCGGATCCTCTTGTACGGGAACCCCTGCCTCTTGTACCAGCCCAACGGGTAGTAGCCCCCCTTCGTCATGTGCTTGCTCTCTTTTCCTTGGTGCTCGTCAGCGTCTCCTTCAAGAACTTTTTGACTGCGAACGTATTTGGGCAGTCCTTCACCGAGGCCCAGAAGCTCGTCCTCTCCTCGACGCTGAAGCTCTTGAGGCCCGACGATACCTCCTTCCACTCGGGCGCTCTGGTGGCCTGCACCCCTCTCGTGCTGCACAGCGCGCATCTGAACACTTGTCCTTTTTTGGTGACGCGGACGGGGTACGCCTTCATAACGTCGCATGGTTGCTGGTATCGGCCGCACAAGTAGGCTCTTTCTGCTTCCTCCAAACACAGCTGCTGCGCCCTCTTGCTTGGGCTACTGTTCAGGGCGAACGCCCCGACTTTCCACTTGGCGCCCGACGCGTCCTCGCCCCAGCCGTCATCCTCGGTTGCCGTGCCCGCCGCCTTCGCCTTCGGCGGCGACATTGCCTCCGTCGCCTTCGGCGGCGCGCCCTTCGCCTTCGGCGGCGCGCCCTGCTGCTTCGCACCCTTCGGCGGTGGCGGTGCCGCGCCCTTCGGCTTCGCGCTCGCCGACGCGGCGGCCTGCGGGGGGCCTCCGCTCGCCTTCGCGGAGCTCGCGCTCGCCGACGCCCTCTTCGGCGGCGGCGGTGCCGCGCCCTTCGACGTTGC